AAAGAAAGAAAGAAAGAAAGAAAGAAAGAAAGAAAGAAAGAAAGAAAGAAAGAAAGGAAGAAACATCCCTTTGCTTCCATGATCATTACTAAGTGCCAAGTGCCAGGTTCTGGTTTGTACTGGACCACATGTGCACATCACATTAGAAAGGAAACACAACTATCACTGGAAAGCAGTAGCAAACTCCAAGAAGGGAATAAATGAGGTCCCAGGACAGAGAATAACTCATAGGAGTGGCTAGAGGTTGTATGCATCGGGGATCTCCGGAGAAACATGGTGTACAAGAGATCCTGTATCAAGAGATGAACTGGCTCCCATAATGGGTGACAAGAAGTATCATTTACTTCTGTAGTTGGCAGGCTGGAGACAGGAGAATTGATGCGGCAATTCAAGGCCAGGGCAGTAGAAGGCCCAGTTCAGTTGTCAGAGTGGATTTCTCCTCTGCTGCTGCCTTTGTGAATTACTCGGGCCCTGAATGGATTGGGTGATACATCATGTTACTCAAACACTCTGTTCAAGTGTTGATTTGAGCCAGAAATAGCTGCAATAGACACACTTAGGACTAAGTCTTTAGGACTAAGCAAATATCTGAGCACTTTGTAGCCCAGTCAGCTGCACACATGAAGCTAATCACCACCTCCTAGAATGCTTCTGATTGGCTGGCTTCATGCTGAATCCTGTTTCCCCCCTCTGTTACTATAGCCTCCCTTCCCCCTTCCTTTCCTCCTATCCTCTCTCACTATACTTCTCTATCCTCAGGAACCTTGGTGAGACTCTCAGTCATCCCTCTGCTTCCAGCTCTATGGTCTTAGGCAGAGAAATGACTTCTCACAGTGGCTGGGTAGGTGCATAAGTAGGTACATAAGTCGTCTATCTGGTTTCCAAGGCAACCTTGGTGGGCTCTGACCCTTGAAGCAGGTAGGCTTCTGCTGAGTAGACCATAGAGGCAGACTGAAGTTGATCATTGCTTGCCATTAGACACTGCTTGAATTCTTGTTTGTACATCACAGACATTGGTGAGCCCTTAACTGGGGAGAACAAACAGGAAGGGGCTTTGCTGCATTCAGGAATAATATTGTAATAGTCTCCACTTTGGTATCTAGGGCACATCCTGCTGGTCCTTAAACTGCGATACTTCTCTGAGGGAAGATTCCCTCCTCTAGGAGATAAGGAAATAACATCCACCAATGACAAACTGAGGAGGGAAGTACAATTCCACCAAAGTTCACCTGGGTCAATCAAGGAGTTCACTAGGCTTCTTTACGGAATAATGGGTGGGTGCTTACTGGTGGGAGCATGGGTGACCACAAAGCAGCCACATGGGAAAGTCTACACCCAGCAGGGATGATGGCTTCCCCGTGGCTGCGTAGATACAGTTCTGCGCCTCATCCTTCCCCACCTGTAGCCTCTAGTACCTCTCTCAAGACCTTGAGGCCATGTGCAGTAAAAGCAGAATTGGAGCAGCATATAACTGGTTGGGAGGGTGGTCATATACTCAGATGAGGGTCCCATGACCCTCCCTGTCTGCTCCTTCTGTGAGAAAATGTCAACAGTCAGCTAAGCCCAGCTGTGATTTTCTTTTGCAAGAACTCCTGACGTGGGGACTGGAGAGATGGCTCGGCGGTTAAGAGCACTGACTGCTCTTCCAGAGGACCTGGGTTCAATTTCCAGCACCCACATGGCAGCTCATAATTGTCTGTAAATCCAGTTTCAGGGGATCTGACATCTTCACACCATTGCACATAAAATAAAGTTAAATATATCATTAAAAAATCTTAAAATAATAAGAACTCCTGAAAATAGCACAACTTTGGCTCAGATGACAGCTCTGAACAAATGGGGTCTCAGACTTGCCCAAGCCCCTTCCATCTCTCTACAGCCACTCACATCCTTTGGTCCTCCACCTCCTCAGGTTTCTTGCATAAGCCCAGCTTGTCCCAGCAGTAGATGGGAGAGGTTTCTACCTGAGTCCCCTCTGTCTTCTCTTTCTCTAGGTCTTTGTTCCCTCTTGGCATCCAGGTCTCACCTCAATATTGCCTTATCAGAGAGGCCTCTCCTGCCCTGCTCAGCCCAGAAAGGTATCTTGATTTCAAAATTTGGGTCCAAGGATATGTTACTTTGGAAAAGAGGTTCTGCTTTTTTTCCAAAGAGGATGAGAACCTGTGGATTCCTGCCAGACTAATGTGGTTTGATGGAACAAGACCAGCCCGAGAGGTCTCCATGAACCCTAGAAATGCTTCACCCAATAAATAGCAGGAAGTAGTTTGGAGAGAACTGCACCCAAATCCCCAAATATTGTTTATAAATGTTTGTTTAAATTTAAAGGGGGATCTGCTATAAATATGGATACTTTGCATTGGTATGGGTCTTGATTTATTGAAACAAATTTAAGATCAATTTTGTTATATATATAGTTCTGCTCTTGATTAAAGTATTGTGTCTGTGAAGCTCATTTAAAAATGTAATATATAATTAAGAAATACAAGTTAATAGCTAGTCATCTATAATAGACAATCTTGTAGTCATGTTAGGTTTTCTAGATATATAGAGATATATTTCAGTTAGATAGAGAATCTTCAAACCTTTCAAAGACCTACAGAATATGGCTTTCAAAATGTTTTAAGAACGTAGGATTTTTCATGATAACAAGACACATCTGCTCCTGGCAGCACAAGCTACTTCAAAAGGATGATGGGCATCAAAGAGGCTCCTTATGGAGTTTGTTAGCCATTTGGGCAAGAAACTGTTCTTACCTGAACTGCTTCATGTTATGCTGTATGAACTGGACATGTCAGACTCACAGAAAAATGACTACTGAACTCTCCTAAAGGTGAAACGGTCCTTCAGGGTTCTTGCTTCTAGAAAAAACTGCCAGACATTTTGCAGGACACAGAAGAAAGCAACTAATGAAATTTGCCAGTACAAGGTATGAGAGATCTTCAAATTTCCTGCTTCATGGAAATGTCTGCCAGATACTATGGGTCTTCAGGCTAAAGATGAGTGTCCCAATGTTACAGAAAAACTTTGGCTGACCGTCCAGGCATCCAGATATCTCTGTCAATTCTAGAGTTTTGGAAGTTGCTTACAATGCACTTACTGTTTACCTAGGTAATATAATCCTTCTGGAGTCTTTGATGGAGTTGAAGAGTATATATAGTTAAAGTTCTCCTTATTTATGATAAAAAATAAAGTAGATATAAATATTGTAACTGTAACTCTTGCTTGATACTTGTTTTGTTATATGTAATTTTACTATGTTAAAGTTAAAACCTTTCTTTTTATTTGAACAGAAAAGGGAAAATGGTGTGGGATGGCCTTCTGTTTATGTGTTGCTTTTATTGATTAATGAATAAAGCTGTTTCGACCAGTGGTTTAGCAGAATAGGGCAAGGTGGGAGTTCCAAGCAGATAGAGGAGGAGAGAGTAGGTGGATTCAGAGAGAAGTCATGTAGCCACCGCACGAGACAGATTCCTCCACCAGAACCTGTCAAAACTTCGCTGGTAGGCCACGACCTCATGGTGATACACAGATTAATAGAAATGTGTTAGTTTAGGATATAAGAGCTAACTAGAAGGGCTAGAGAGATGGCTCAGTGGTTAAGAACACTACCTGTCCTTCCAAAGGTCTTGAGTT